AATTGTGTCGAACCTGCCCGACACTGAATGCAACGTAGTTGTGTCGAGTACTTCTGACTCCACACTGAGTAGAATGAAACGACACACTCTTAATTAAGAAGTATTTACTGTGACTCCTCTCTGACTCACGCACCGCTGCAGTAACTCAGTTCTAAATTATGAGTAAAAAAATGTGGTGTTTTTTTTTCTTTACTTGTTTGGACATGGTAAAACATTACCCGTAAAAAATGTTATGACCCTTTTTTTAGATGTTGAAATTCCAGTCTCGGAACTCGTAAAGCTTTAATCCACTTTAATAAATGAGTTATAACTCATCAACTCAAAGAGCGGAAACAACTCAAAAGCGGAACTCCACACAGTGTTAGCCAGGCCTACTTTAAACAGCCAACCTTCCACTACTAATTTTTCAATCTGCCAATGGGGAAGTTGTGCGTGAATAACTATGTAGAATGGAACTGTTCAGAACCGGCACTGCTCTTAATTCATAAGTGTGGAAGTTGCGTCCACTGTGTCGCACTTGAAGAAATTCACATAAAATTGTCCTTAAAACGGTCAATAAATTCAAATACATGCTTGGCCGAAGAATCTAGGTATCAACCGTTAAGGGATTCTTTTTTGAAGGACAACTTGTATTTTGTCTTACTGTGTTGGGCCTTAAGAGTTTTAACACCAATTTTGCGTTAAATTGCGTATCAAGCGCTGTACCTTACATACAAAATTGCTACCCGCTAAAGAAGTTGTGCAAAGCCCTTTGGGCACGACACTGCTTAGAATGAAACAAAACACTTTTAATTGATAAATGCTTAGGTCGTTCTTCTCTTACTGTGTGGTGTCTGGAAAGTGTCAATATAAAATTTGCTTTAAATTGTGTTTAAACCGCTGGAATTTTCATGTAAAACTAGCGATCAGTTAATGTAGAAATTGTGCAAAACCACGGCCACAACACTGGTTGCAACGCATCAATTCGCTGTCAATTCCTGCATGGGGTTTGAATTGTGTGCACCTTAACCAGTGTAGTGCACGAAGGGCTCGGCGCAACACTCAATCAACACACTTCAGGGTTTCCATTGCAAAATCAAACTTTAAACACATCCCGATGTAGTAGTTGTGACAAACCCTTCGGGCGCACTCTTCAACGCACCGGCGCAGTAACTCGAGTGACACATTTCTCGGTTTTCTTGGCAACATTCATACTCTAAACCCATTCTAATATAGAAATTGTTTCGAACCCTTCGAGCTCGACCCTGGATCCAACGTAGTTGTGTGGCGAACTTTAGACTCCACACTGAGTAAAATCAAACGACACACTCTTAATTAGGAAGTCTTTATGTTGTTCCTCTCTGGCTGGACCGGGCCCGAAGTGTTTCGACCTAACTTTCACATCAAATTGCCTTTAAACTAGGACTGGGAAACTCAGTGAATTTTTGGAGTTGGCGCAGTGCTGCGCAAATGGCTTGGTGCGCCAACTCAACATACCGGCGCAGCTACTCAGTTCCGTTGCGCCGGAAAAATGTTACCTAAATTATGAGTAAAAAATGTGACGACTTTTTTTACTTGTTTGGACAAAGCAATAAAACATTAACCATAAAAAATTTTATGGCCTTTTTTTGAAGATGTTAACTTACTGTGTTGCGCCTTAAGAGTTTCAACACAAATTTTACATTAAATTTTGTGTCAACCTCTGTACCTTACATATAAAATTGCTACCCGCTAAAGAAGGTGTGCGAAGCATTTTGGACACGACACTGCTTAGAATGAAACAAAACACTTTTAATTAGTGCTTAGGTTGTTATTATCGTACTGTGTCGAGCCTGGAAAGTGTCAATATAGAATTTGGTTTAAACCGCTGGAATTTCCGTACAAAATTAACGATCAGTTAATGTAGGAATTGTGCAAAACCCCACGGCCAAAACACTGGTTGCAAAGCATCAATTCGCAGTCAATTACAGGATGGGTTTTGAATTGTGTGCACCTTAACTAGTGTCGTGCACGAAGGGATCGGCGCCACACTCAATCAACACACTTCAGGGTTTCCTTTGCAAAATCGAACTTTAAACACATCCTGATGTAGAAATTGTGCCGAACCCTTCGGGCGCACCGCGCAGTAACACAGTTCTGTTGCCGGGAAAACGCGACTTGCAAAAAATTAGTGACCTTTTTTTAGAATTAAATGTTAAAATTCCGGTCTCGGATATCCGAAAGCTTTAATCCGCTTTAATAAAGAAGTTAGGACTCATTAACAGATGAGTTAGAACTGATTAACGTAGGGAGCGGCAACAACTCAAAAGCGAAACTCAACCCACAAGTGCAGGTTTCGAGATCGCCAATTTCAAGCTGAACCCAGCTGATGAGAGCTAATAGGCTCGAAACCGGCCCTGGGGGTGCCTGAGGTTAGCGCACAGGCACACTTGCCTCTTTCAAAAGCGCATAACGGCTCTGATGATGCCGAAAGCTTTTCGTTGTTCAAGCGGCGAGTTATTGCGTTGCAATCAGTGCCGTGCCCGCAAAGCTCGGCACAACATTGCAACCAATTCGGATTTTCAGGCTCAGTTTACTGTTGGAGCTGTGCTCCAACTAGTTACCGTATTTGTATTCATCCTTTACCTTAGCTTTTCTGAGCAGCGGGTTTACCAGGACCGTATAAAGCAGAACTCCAGCCGCGGAAATCTGGCACAAATTGGACGCATCCACAACATACATGACTTTGCCCACATTAACAAAGTAGTTGGGCCACATGGGCGCTAAAGTACCTAAAAAATCACCTGGTTAAGTTTGACGGGTAAAGACCTGGTCGCTTACCTCCCACTTCCCGGATTGTGTACAGCTTGTCGGCCACCCTCAGACTAAGAATGTTGGTGCCAACGGTGGGTACCGATGTGGTGGTATTATCCACATAGTTGGGGCTTTGGAGCTTTTTTAACAGCAGGCTTTTGCCGGAACCTTCGGGACCGATGCAAAGCACCATTGCATTTTGCGCGCAACGAGTTGTTTGTTCGATACTACCGGTGGCAACCCGGCCAGGGGTGGAGGAAGTAAAAACACTCAGCCCTTTTCAACTATTTACTTATATCACAATAATTAATAAATTATATTACATATTGACAAGTAGAGTACCCACGGTGTTGGCTTGAATCTAGATTAAATGCTTTAGGTATAAAGGAAACCTTGCGGAAATTGATCTGGTGTAGGCCCTTAAAGCGCATGCAACGACCACTGGGCAGGAGTGAATTTTGCTGGCCAGTCTTTTTGCCACAGTGGTTTTTTGCACGCGATTTTCTCGCTTAAGAATGTGTCGGAAACAAATCTATTGAGTCTATAAGTGGTAAGTGAAAACAGCCGTCCAACGCCGCGCCACTTTCAGCAGTTGCCCCCCGAATTAAAAGAAAAAGTCCAACATCAAGTCAAGGGCACAGTAACAAGCCGATTCTAAGCCCCAGCTGGGGGCTTGTTGAAGTCCTAAAGACAAAAACAGTCTTTGATTGTTTCTTTGTACTTTTTTACACTTGTAACTACGAGCTTGTCAGTGTGCCCTATCAGAGCGAAATAAATGATAACATACATTACAACCCGATTTGTTAGTAAAATTCGCTATAAAGAGTTAGTACTTAAACAATAAAAAATAATAGTAACAACAATAAAGGCAGTATGAAAACATACTTACTATACATGTACATAAATCGGCATCAATGTACATGGGCGTGTTTGGGCAAGAGTATAAACTGACTGGATAACAAAACGGGGCTCCGAGGGACAACACTTGATCCTGAGACCTGCAGCCAATAATTACTCGTTAGCAAAAAAAACAGGTTTATGAGTAAAAAACACATTTTTATTCGAATGAATCGAAAACTGCCGATTTCTGATCAGAAGCAATGAGCATAAAGAAGCACTTTTCTTTAACATTCATTTCTGGTTGGACTCAAAACCGGAACAAAACTGTTTTTATTCTGGACCGGAACCGAAACCTAAACCCATTTTTTATATTTACACGCGCTCTGCGACCAAAACAATTTACACAATTCGCGAGTTCAACTACCGATGGTGCCGCTGCGATACATCAAATTACTCGTTGTCGAGTGACAGTTGAAACTTGTCATATTTGTTTATTTATTGGAGTTGATGACATTTATAACATAAAACAATACTTACACACTTTTCGATCTGTTTCCATTTCTTTAAAAGCTTGCAAAAGTTGATTAGAACAAAACAAATGTAAACACCAATGTCAACAAAACAAGTGTCAAATCTAAACTTAACTTGTAGTTATAATTTTAGCCACCAGGGGGCGTCTAGAGTTTTAAACTCGCGAATTAAAGCCACCTCACCTGACAGCTGTCAAATTAAAAAAAAATGTAATTCTATCCGCTGCAGTTTTCCAGATCCCCATACTAGTCATCGAAAAAAATCAGTCTGTACTTACTACTCATAATTGTATCTAGCGCACAATCGGTCGAGGTACAGTATGAAGTAGTGATCGTTTGCGCATCTTTCATCTTGTAGAATGCAACAAGCAAGGAAAAATATAATGTGAGTCCCGGATAGAGTTGCCCCTATTTTTGTCCTCGTTCGTTGTATTATATAGATTTTGGAACCGAAAAATAACCGGAACCTAAATTGAAAATTTTGCCTTGGAGCGAAACCGGAACGGAACATTTCGATTCGGTCCGGGTCCTTGTTTTAAATAGCGCATATAGCATGCAAAATATACAACTTAACAAACATCTGTGACAGCAGTTGATTCAAGCATTCAAGTGAGCAGTTGACACAAGTGACAGCAGCTGTTTCAATTTCGGTAGTTGAATCCCACATTTGCGGAACCTCTAACTTTTGATGCGGTACAGCACATTGAATTTCCAACACTCATTGTTTCACTCCTATATGGTTTCAAAAATACGCCTTTGAAAAATTGCAAACGGCAAACAACGTGACATTTGACAAATGACATTGACAGCAAATTTAAAAGATGAAAGCGATGCCTTTTGTTAATTAAAACTTATTCATTCGAATAAAAAATAGTGTTCTAATGACTGACGGATTGACACCCTCGACTCCGTGTCGGGTGTCAAACGTCGTTGGATTCGAAAAACGACACTTTTCGCCCTTGCATCGAAAACTACTATTACCTGATCATGCATTGTCGACAGCATGTCAATCCGAGCGCTTCCCTATGGTGAAACAGTTGATTTTAAAGTGCCTGCACATCTGCCTTACCTGTAAACGGAAAAGCCCTTTCTACACATTTCCACCAACCCAGACTGTTCCGGGACTTACCACACAAGTTCCATAGTGAATATGAGCAATGGATGTGCCCAAACACAGGGCATAGAGCAGGTAAAGTTCTAGCGTGGGCGATTGCGTGACTCCCGAAATCATTATGGCCAGAACAGTGGGAACGAACATCCAGTTGAACCAGTCGCACCTGGTGCTGCTCATTTGGGCCACAATCACCCGACACTGGCAAAACAGGCTCACTTAACCGGCGCATTTTCGCTTTTGAATCAATGGATGACACTTACTTGGGATGGGGATAGAGGGCTGAGGCATGGCGCTAGCGCCTACTTACCGAAATGTTGGAAAAGATCGTGCCCAAGAGAAAGAAAAGCGCCCTCGGGTCCCTCTCGATTATATCCGAGGGACTTTCGAAGATCCACCATAAGATGATCAAGTAGTTGAGCACTAAAGGAATCAGGGGCCTGATGGCCTCGCTGAAAGATCGCATGTACCCAGTTTTATCGCGATAGGACTTGTAAATGTTGTAGAACACTATCGGCCAGTTGGTGATCATTGACGAGATGTAGAGCGTCAGCTCTACAAGCACCCCATTGGTAATTCCTCCGGGCAAGCTGTATTGCCACAAATCAGAGCCGCCAATCTGCAAATAAATCTATGTTGATCGGAAGCCGATTTTCGCTCTGCACACCTCTTACCCCAGTGATGAAGAAAATGATTATCATGCCGCACATGGTAAAGTCGTAACCCCAAGGCAGGAACATCACCCCAGTGTTGTACTTCTCAAAGTGGGACAGGTAGAAGTTGATGAGCACGTTGCAAAAGGTGAAGAACATGCGAAACGGGGGCACGCTGAAGCGCGCCCCTCGTCCAAAAATTGAGTACATGGCGGCGGGCATGAGCCCCGCAGTGTACGAGTCCAACCCATGGTCGAACAGCTCACCCAAAGGTCCACTGGTGCCTGTTCTGCGCGCCTGTTTTCCATCTATGCCATCTGGAATGTACAGAAACCCCACGGTTAGCCAGCTTCAAATGTTCTCTATTATCGGTCTCAGTTCGCATCGTTTTCTTCGCGTGAAAAAATAATTAACGACTGTTGCTGTCTCAGGTCGAGTGACTGGTGTGTGTTATTGAAACAGCCCAAGAGATATTTGAGTTAATCTTCATAGAATAGGTGCAATATAATTTCTGTACATCTTCCAGTCTATGAGCAAATCGGTCTCACCAGTTACTTACCAATTTTTCTACTTAGCTTTTTTTCATAAAATAGCTTGAGCAATCAAATCTTTAAATACTGCCGCGTATTTTTTTAACATCCTAAACTGGTGAGTTTTCGGTATTTTAAAGCGTCATTGAAAATAATATCTTCTTACCGTTTCGCAAGCACGAGTGGCTAACATCATCTCAAAAAATCAGTATTATGGGCGACTTTTATGAAAATGTGTGCTCGTGTTCTAACGAGTATTTAAAGAGTGGAACGCAATTGAGTAGAAATTACCATTTTGCGACCGATATTTACTAAGCTTAATAGGTATTATTCACTTTAGTTTGGTTTCTAAGTAAATACATCCAGTTTGAGACCAATATAATCCTTGCTGGCACAAATTCAGATTTTCAAAGACTACCATGAACCTTTCAAAATTTTTACAGCCACGTGTCTTCTAAGGATGCTGAAAATTTCAAATTGCTACTTCCATTACTTTCAAAGATGCCAATTTTTTTAAAGAGAGTTGAGTGAATTTGTGATAGGTTTTTGTTAAACTTGTGAAAATCAGGCTTTCAGGCAATTTTGATGAAAGTGTCAGCGTATTTAGATTCAAGTGCCTTCTTAAGGCGGTACAAATTCCAAATTGGTATTTGCTTAAGTTTGAAAGATGCGATTTTTTCAAAGAACGAGAGAAAGTGCAGTTTATCAATCTTCAGATTGGTACAAAGAGCGCCTTTTTGCCAATCGAAAGCTGATGAAAATATGTGTTGTATATAAGATTTTTATCAAACTTTGTGCATCTATAGCATTAAGTGTCTTCTAAAGATGGTAAAAATTTGACGTTATACGGTTCAGTTAAAAAAATGTGACTTTTAAAGCGTACAGCGCAATGAGGAACTTGCATAAAAATTAAATTTAAAAAATATTACTACCAAACGTAACTTAATACTATTAAAAACACCACAGTTGACCAAAAACTTTTTTTTTTATTTCTATGTAAATAATATAAGCAATTAAAAACTGTATAATTCAAATCATTCTTGTAACGCGCCGTCATCGGCTGGGACCAGTTGTGACGTCAAGGGGCTTGTAGGGCGAGGCGGTTGCAATGCGGAGCATGTTAAAATATGCAACCTCAGTCTTGATATTGTTGTTAAAACGTTTATATAGTGTATTAGGAGAAAAAGATAATTTTTCAAAATGACTGACGCAGGTTTTGTAAAAGGACAATCTGACATTTTAGTCCTCGCTGATATGTTTATGATGGCATCTTACATTAAAAACACGGAAAGTTTTACTCTTGCTGAAGTTCGCGATGTTAAAGCTAACAGGTAGATTTATAGACAAAATAGTCAATAGTTTTACTTATATAAATCGATAAAATGTTAGATTGGGGTTTTCATGGCTCTAATGTTCAAAATTCAAACAGGACCCATTGATCAAAATGTAAGCGATTCAACAAAAAATAAGAAAGTATTGTTTTCATGCTAGTAGAAACTAGATGACATCATTAAAAGTTAACAGTTAGAGAAAAACAATGTTAAGTACAAACATATGTACTAAGTAAAAAAAGATTATTTACAGATCGAGAAAGTATTTAATAAGATTGTAGTAAAAAATGAAGGCTAATGTAAGCCTTCATTTTTTTCAGACCTCCCATTAACTTGAATTTAACATAGTTATCCATATCTTCTTCCAGCTAGAATTAATAAATAATATTAAAGTTACATAAAAATATCTGTTAACACTCATATTGCATGACAAAAATAGTAGGTATTTAACGTAAATGCACGACGATAAAACGAGATTTTTCCTTTGCAGATACTTTTGTTTCTTTATATCGTCTAGTATAGCAATTAACTATTTTTGGGGTGATTATTTATTACTAGAATGCAGCCGAGAAGCAAACAAAATACAAATTCAAAGTATTTACCTGTTATACAATAGACAAAATCAAATCTGTTTTTTATACTTACATTAAAATGATCTTCACATACATGGGGAGTAGTCTTCTCAGAAATATCCTTGTATACCTTTAACCTTTAACCATTTTAAACGCCGGCTTTTATCTCGTGGTACACGAATAGCAGATAGCTTATTTGGCGTTTTAAAAGTTGTACTAGGACACAGTGGCACCATACAGCATTTGTAATATTGTTTTTGTGTTGCTTCCATTATTAATAAACCACAGCACGAATTGTGAACAAACACCCAGATAATTCAACGACAAGCCGTATTTCAGTATTGCCTTTCGAACGAACGACCAGCGCTATGACGTCACGACCATTCCCGCGCGTTTAGTGTCGTTTCAAATTAATAGCCTGCGGTCACAACTTTAATTGTTTATTGCAAATTAAATATTGCGACTTGAGGGCTGATATTTGGCATGCGCGATTTCTATAGATAGGCAGATATATTTAAAAAAATAAAAAAAAATGTTCAAGTTCCCCATTGTGGATAATCATCCATTTTAGAGAGCCTTTATTTTGAAAAATGCGAATTTTTAAGGAGAAAGAGCAATTGTGGAGGATCGTCCATTTTGAGCTCGGTTTTTGCTAAGCTGGAAAAATTCAGTATTAAGAGCGACTTTTATGAAATTATGTGCTTCTTCTGCGTCAAGTCTTTTCTAAGGGTGCTGAAAATTTCACGTCATGAGAGGCTTTATTTTGAAAAATGCGAAATTTGAAGGAGAAAAAGCAATTGTCGAGGATCGTCCATTTTGAGCTCGGTTTTTGCTAAGCTGGAAAAATTCCATATTAAGAGCCACTTTTATGAAATTATGTGCTTCTGCTGCGTCAAGTCTTTTCTAAAGGTGCTGAAAATTTCACGTCATGAGACGCTTTATTTTAAAAAATGCGAATTTTTAAAGGGGAAGAGCAATTGTGGAGGATCGTCCATTTTGAGCTCGGTTTTTGCTAAGCCGGAAAAATTCAGTATTATGAGCGATTTATAAAATTAGGTGCTTCAGCTGCATCAAGTCTATCCTATATATGCTGAAAATTTGCCATTGTTAGACGCTTTACTTTAGAAAATGCGAATTTTTAAAGGGCGAATTTTTTAAGGGAGAACTTTTTGCCCAGCTATTTTTTTGCATTGGCATAATCTTGCTTGACTCATATCTACCAACCAAATTTGCGAAGTGAAATTTGCGAAACAAGCGAGTAATTCCTTTAAAAAGTCTCCGTTTTAAGAACTATTTCGCCCAAATTCCGGAAGCAGCTCTTGGCCGAGCAAATTCTGCTTTGTGAAGCATTAAACTTTCATTTATGCCCCGTTATTAATAAAAAAATAAATTTCTATCGAATTTTCGAAAAAAAATGTGCATCAGAATTTTCGCAAAACTCATTCTTTTGGCGTAGTTCAACATGAAAACATCTGCCTTTGGAGTTGAGAAATTGATATCTGTAATGTTTTATTTCAAAGCAATTTTGAATGGAAATTGATCAATTCACTCAGCAAACTTGCGTTATAAAGAGAATAATTGACTCTTGGCTTCAATAGATGAATTCAATCTGCTCTGCGGATACGAGAAGTTTTCTTTAAGTGCCTCTTTTAAGTGTATTGGGGAGAAAACTGCAAGCAAAGTGCGAACCACGAAAGCAAACTCGGCCAGTTGAATAACCTAAACACTTCGAGTAGGGATAAAATTATGTGAAAATTTCGCTGTATTTAACAAGTCTGAATCTCCCCCTCATCAATTATTTATTAGAGGCTTATAAGTAGAAAGACAAGTAAAAATCGATACCGACAAACAACCGATACTAATCAAGTGCTCAAAAGTGCTGAAAATCGTTTAACTTTAACCGATATCGCCTGATTTTCGGCCTCACATTCACTGTTTACATTTGAGTTTTAATGCTGAATTTACTGCATTCGATTACGAGTTTTAATAATGAAACCTTGACTCGCACAACAAAATACAATTAACAACGTGCTTCTGTTACACACACAACAGCGATCCGTAAACAACAATAATATTTTAGGTTCGAGACATATTTCTGAACCAGAAAGCACAAGGAGCGCATTTTAATTTACTCTAGAAGTAAGATTAATCGATAAATCCATCCATACGGGATTCTTATACAGTTTATCGGTTTTCGCACTGAAATTGTGTCGTGCACTAAAAATACAGTCGACCCCGTTTTTGCAAAAAGGCATTACTTTTCCGGTCCAAACCCTTATTATCACTACTGGAATTTGGACAAAAGTAAAGAAATGCTTTTTGAGATCATCGCATTTCGGATGCTTAAGCTGCAGTTCAGTGTCACTTCCGTTATTGAGTACTAGATTAGTATCGGTTGTTTACCGATATCAGATTTTGACGCGACTTTCTAGTTCACCGCGCGACGAGATCTGCATCAAAAACCATAATAATGTAGAGTGTATCAGATATTCTGTTTTTTGTGCTTCAAAACTAACTGAATTTGTGCATGCAACCAAAAACTGCCGAAGTTCGGATTTTTTTTTAATTTCTGAGGATCTACTTGGCCTTATTTAATATTTTTCCAAGATTCCCAATCACCTAAGCTTTAATTAAAAAAGGAACTCACGGCGATTCATCGATTAGATCCAAAGTTATATGATTTTAAAACAGAAAAACCAAAATTGTAATAGTGTACGCGAGAGAAATATATTATTATTTTCTAAAAAGGAACATCCGATTTGTTACACGAATGATTAGGTATGGACGAAACGAAAAAATTGTCAAAATGAGAGTTCAGGCCTGATCGCAAACGCGCAATCAAAAACCTTCTCATAAATGTGCAAAACAGTGAATCAGACACGAAAGAGTACAGCCAACAATTGACATTACTCAGAGCGGTATAACCAGAATTCGCGCTTCCAGTTTAATCCAGAATATTACAGTTTGATGCATATAAAACCCAGATGCATAGAGATGACTAACGATCAAAATTTTCAGGTCAGCCATCAGTTTAAGCGGCAAATTAAAATGCCTTTTGGATAATGCCCATTTGCGCAGATTGGGAGAAATTGGTTGTCCCGATTTCCAAATTTAACAAGTTTAGACTTCTTTGAATGGGCCTATATTAAAGGCATCGTTTAAAAAAACTACTGCCACGCGCGACAACATAACAACAGGAATTAAAAGTGCTTTTACATCAATTTTTCCACAGGTTTCCGTGGAGTTTGAGAAGCAAGTGAATTTACGTAATTATTGCCGTAATTGTAATTATTGTTGCTTAATGTGTGTATTTAGGCTGCTGAAAGTTATTTTTGTTACGTTCGAAGCTACATAATTTTTCATAAAATAGCATAATATGTAACTTAAAACTGAACAAAATGAACTAAATGCACACTTTAAAAGCAATAATAATTACAATTATTACAGAAATAATTAAGTAAAGCGACTTTGTCCTCAAATAGGTTTAACACAGGTTTAACAACGAAAATCGGTGCAAACTTTATTGTAAAAACACTTTTCATTTCTGCTGTTTTTTTGTTCTCTCGAGTTGGAGGAATGTTTTGAACGATACCTTGAATAACTCTGTTAAATCTGGTGATCGAGTTCACACTAACAAAAAAGCTTGTTTGCTTTGCAGCTTTTTCCAGGGTCCATAGACAATGTATATCGCACGATTCTACAGTGATTCTATAGATGCAACTGGATTTTATATGGATAAAACTTAAATCTTCTGGACTATTCTTGAAACACAAATTTGGGTAATACCGCTCTGAGTGCTTACGTCGGCTGTTATAAACATCTTCTGTTAATGAAGCTGGTTTCTACTTTGATTGCGATCAGAAAATCGCTACCAATACTATTTTGAGCCAAGAATCTAACTCGTTCCGGTCTGCAGTCTCATTTTGACAACTTCTTCCTTTTCTCCATACTGAATCTGCTGAGGTTTCCATAAAATATCAGTATTCATTATCTGGAAAACGGTTCTTCGTGAAGGTCGATTTTATACCGGTAATGTGAACCCTAGAAACTGTCTCATTTAGAAACAATAGAAATGAAAAAAAAACTGGAAATTATTTTACGAGCATCCTGTATAAGTTTACGTTGAAATTAAATTTGAATTAAGTGGCAAAAGGGGTATTTCAATAATGTCATCAATAAGGGAGCATTAACGACTACTGAAGCGACTCTGAAATTTTTCTCGTTCTATAAAAAATCGTTCACATTTTCGATATCCTTATTATTGGGACAAACCTTTATTTATCCTATATAGAGGTACAAGCTGTGCCTAAGATAGGAAGGATATCCGAAACCTTGAGTGTTTCAAAGTTGCTTAAATGAGAAAAAATAAGGCTATTAAAAGACAGATAAGAATTTTTGTTTCGCATTTATGTTTTACTACTTTTTACACTTTCTTATTGCAAGATTAATTCCAATATGTTAGAGCACGTCCTATCGAAATTTAATTAACTGTTGACTCAAGTTTCTTCCTTATTTTAATTGGGACACCCTATAGGTTTATGCGCCAATAGACAAAAATGTTCATCGTTTTTCCAAAACCCTTATAACATCAAGTTTGCAAATTGACTTTATATTATAATATTTTTCTCCCGGTGATGAAAAAGTGAAGTGAGGAGTGAAAGGAGTGTGAAGAAAATAGTGTCAAATTATTTCTCTAAAATCGCAATTTCTATTGACTGCAAATGCAAATCGGAACTATCTGTTGTTGATGCTTTAATGGTTTCGGTGAACTAGAGTCAGCAGTTATTTACATCTGAAACGGGCGTTTTTCGACAACACATTGCAATTAAACTTGAAGGTGGAAAATCCTTCCGTTTCCCCGTTAGATAAAATCTGGAGAAAGGTTAATATTAGTATTAATTTCCATTGTACGAAGTCTCCAGTGAAGCTAAAGCCAAATAGAACTTTGTTTTTGTATTTGTTGTTTCTCCATAAGTGCATAACCCAATGTGCCCCTTGGCCCAGGGGATCAAAGTGGAAGCATCGAAGAATATCTTAATCGGCTGCTTGTATTATTGTTAATTCGATATCGTTCCACTATGTTCACGAGCATTTCATTAACAATTTCCTGTTGTAGATAAACAAACCCAAAGTCCAACTGTTCGATGAATTTGTGAAACAAGACTAAACGACCGCGTGAATTATTTGTGGAATTTGGCAGCAAATAGAACATTAAACATCCGATCTATCCACGAGGTTGAACGACACAATCATTGATAAGATATCAGTACACTCCATTAATAAATTGCCGATAGCTTTTGACCCCCGGAGTCGACGCTATCAATAGATGTGGCCCCAAAAGCTCGAATGTTGGGGAATTTTTGAAACAAAACTGCTCTTACCTAAGGTGTATGCCAGGAAAAGTAACAGAGCGGCCAGAAACCAGCTCCAACGGGGCAGGTTTGGCACTTCTGGATGTTCGGGGTCTGACGCTGTAAAATTGTAGTCCATAAAGGTGAACATTAAGTACATGGCAATGGTGCACATGAAACCACTGAACGTCAGCAAATTTGGGGCGATATTCTTCGGGCAGTACTGCAAAACACTAAAGTAAAAAAGTGTCTTCCTAAGGCTTTTGCTCTTTCACCTGGACTACCCAGTTCCAGAACGGGTGCATAACATATATGCTGAGAATGCCCGTATCCTTGCAGTTGTACTGAAACCCACAAAAGACAATATTAGGGCTAAGCCTAAAGAGAGGGCTGGCGCTCCCAACATTTCGCCTTACACAGACGGGGGCTTTGTCCCAAATCGACCTCACCAGCCACTAAAAGCCCCAAGTTTACCTTATAGTTATCAAATCCATTTAAATGCTGCTGTTTCAAGTACTCCCTTTCCAGCAGCATGATGAATTGTGGCACTGAAGCTTCACTGACTAGCCGTAAGGGATTAATTCACGGGTATTTCGAAGGGGTTTCAGCCCTTAAAGCCCTGGATTTATTGAGCAATTTGAATTTTATTCGCTTGTTGTCGAGTGCCGCAACTCACACTTGACAACCGGCACCATTGTCCATTTTAGTCCAAGCAGAGTGAAGTATGCTGAGGATCATGTGCGTTCTCTAGCGGTGTTGCAGTTCCATCAATGAGTTATAAAAGAGGACAGCCATTTGCGATTCATAACAAATATACATTTATTCAAACAAACAGTGCAACCAGAACTACACCATAAAACTAATATAATAATAGAGTATAAAAATATGCATATGTACAGTATGATTCAAAGTTGGCCTCTTTCCATTTAAGGGGTTTCGCAGTTTTTTTTTAATTGAGCTTATTTTCAATTTTGTTATCAAGCAAAAACCTTGTAAAACTGGCTCAAAACTTCGCCAATGTTTTCATTTGGAACACTGACTATTACAAAATTTTTTTTTTATTATTTAGATATTTGGTGATAAAAAGGTTGCAGACTATTTCTGATTAGTTATCAACTTGTTCTCTTACAAAAACATGAAAGGAGAGAAAGTGAAAATGTCCACAATTGAACATTAACAGCAGTATTAAGCACAAAAATGCCATTTACTATAAAGTATCAATGCACTGTTGCCAGTTTTCTGATTCAGGTTTTTGCGAATAACTCAGTTTCTCGTGAGAACTATTATCTTCGTACCCCCTAATGTCCTCAGACAGTTCTTCCAGAGGAATGATGCCAAAATTGAACCACCTTTGATAAAAATATTGCACCAAATCACCCTGGTAGGCTGGCGGAGGTGTTGTTGAAAAACTCCTCTAGCTCATTGGGGTCGAAATCCAGCTGGATCTCCTCTAAAATAGCGCCGCTTTGCGTCTTTGGCAAATCTACCTCTAAAAAATTGTTCAGGTAATATTATCTGCTGGAACACAACGTCAGTCGCGATAAAACTGGACTAACTACTATTAATTAAATTGCGCCTTACTGGGTATTGTTCCAAGGCTTTTATACACCTCCAAGTCCCCTTTGAAGGCATCTTGGAACACTTTCTGCCTCTCCTCCAGCACGTGCTTTTTACTATTTTCAAACTTAGCCACCTGTTGGACGTAGTGCTTATCCAAGGACTCGTTCAGCTTGTTTAGGTTATCTAAAGAAAATCACGGGTAAACTGCAAGTAGCCCATCGCTGCTGGAAATACCTTGTTTTCGAATCTTGTAGCTCTCCAACAGTGCCTTGTGTCTCTTGATCATGCCCTCAAACTCAATGTCCTCCAGCAGAACCTCAAAGTCCAGCAACTTTTGCTCGACCACCTCACACGTTTTGTAGAGCTGGTCCACTTGGGTCAGGCACTGCTCAATGTTGGAGGTGAGCTTTGAGGTGGTTAGCAGATGGGTGACTAGATCTATATTAGTCTGGCTGCTGGCCATCCGCTTGGCCACCTGCTGAATTTCCACAGCCACTTTCTGAGCATTGCTGGCGTTCTGCTCGTTCAGTTCATGAATATCCTGCCACTGGTCCTGGAAATGCTGCAGAATACCAGCCCCTGCTTGCGTGTTCACTGGAGGGGGCTGTAGCTTAACGGGACTGTCATCCAGAACAAAGAACCCCACAGTGTTTTTCACTGTTCGCAATTTGTCTTTTAACCCCGTGAACATTGTGAGAACATACTTGAACTGATGAACTAAACGAAACGAAATGAAAAACAATTACAGTGGTAAAGGAAATGTAAATAAGATCAGCTGATCAGGCAGTGTCAGTGGCCTGCGGCGCGACAGGCAGTGATGCCAATTGCAGCTATATGCAGATGAGTTTAATTAATTTTCGGTTTTAATTAGTTCGCTTAAGCAAGTTTTTCCGGTAATTGGGGTTTTTCGGCAGTTTTTGAGGAATTGTTGGATGGTTTTCAAGCACGCGCAGTCAGACCAACATTGTGGAAATCTGACATTACTGACGTGTGAGTTACAAGATCCGTCGTTTTCAAATAACTTGATGCCTCGATTTTCAGTGGAAAACGCCGTAAGTGAGTCCAAATTTCAATGGTTTGGTAAGTTAATAGTTAATTTATGTGTTAATTTTGCACGGTTTAGTTGAAACTCTTGTCGGGGTAGTTTTCAACTTATTTGACTCCCGCGGGTTTTGTGATTGCAGGTCCTTTTATTTGAGTATTTGGCCTCAAATTTGAGGTTTTTGAGTCATTTTTTCACGCGTTGATATTCAGTGCGAATTATAAATGTAAATGAGTTTTTTATACAGGGTGGTAAATTTTATTCTACAGGGCGTCCCTGAAACGTCTTAACCACACGTTTCATTGACCGAAAATAAGACGATCTATAGATATAATATATGTTATAAGCAAACTTATTACATCCAATGTCACTTTTTTTTGCCGCGTGTTTTCCATTTAATTTATAAACGCTTATATCAATTTTATCTTATTTTGAAATCAACAATTTCTACATAAATTGACGTTTTTATTGCAATCAATTTAGTGCAATCCCCTTATTATGCACTCTTCTCGAGCAGCTTCTCGTATTCGGTTAATTAACTCCTGCTCAATTTATATCGGAGTTCAGTAAAATTTATATAATTCAACGAACAAGGACAAATATAGAGGCTGTTCAAAGTTGTGTGTGGTGACGTCAGCTGTTGGTTGGGCGCGCTAAATGGAAATTCAAATTTAGGTTGCTTTTAACTTCTTTTTAAGTAGCATAAAATACAAAAAAAATTGCAGAACTATTAGTTGACCATAAATAAGCAGAATAAGGCAAAACAAAGAAAAATTACCACATGCATACCGGCCAAAGGCTCCTAATTCTTGAACTTTATCGGTTAGAGGATTGTCTAAACATGTGAAAGATCTAATGCAGACGATTTGGCTTAACAATCAATTGTAAAATAAAGATTAAAGAGAAATAAGAACTAAAATACAGTCAAAACCCTTATATTTGAACAAAACTGGACATTGGAAAACAGGAGGAAATTAGTAGGCAAACGAATCCCTCAGACTAGCCGCCTCAATATAAATCTAACACTACTAAGCGACCCCCCGAAACAATATTTTTAGCTCACGGTATTTCGGGGGGCTGTTCCAGTTTTCCGACGTGTCGTACTGTTCAGCAGCCTGCCGTTCCAGCTCTTGAAACACATTGGTGTTGGATGCGGCGTACTGTTCCAGTGCTTGCTGTTCCAATTCGTCCGAAGACACGCCAGTAACTGGAACAAACGGCTCCGGATCATCCAGCAAGATACTTTGATCCACAGCCTCATTGGTTGCCTCCCCTTGACTGGACCTGGCAGGTCTGCACTGAGTTTCACTAAGAGAGTGGGTAATCCGCGATTGCAAGACAGGGCTGGAAGCTGGAAGCCGGGCAGCCAACAGATTAACTGTGGGATGTTGACTGATTTTAACCGAAGGATGTTGAATGTTGAAGAAAGCCGTCGAAGGAAGCACCATGGGGCGGTAACTGGGGAACACCCCTCTCTGATAGCTGAAGAGGCAGTTTGGCAGAACAAGAGGCAAACAGCTGGCCTGTCTAAAATTCAGCAAGTGGTTGGAAAACAATCGGGGGTTTAGAAACTGGTAGCTGGAGTAGATGGGGGGCGTGCAGGAGAAAGTTGAACTGGAAGGTGTAGACGATTGGCAGTAATTGGACGAACAGTGAAAAGCCTGCCGACTCTCAGCAGTGGTTTCCGTGCCAGTTTCACTCCTCTGAACAGTGGGAGGCTTGGCTTGGAAGCCTATACTCTCTGCAGGTGGGGATGAGCCCTGCAGGACAGCCGAGTAAAGCCTGCGATGCGTGGACAGTTCTATAGAACTGCTGGAAGCTTCCAGCCAAGACCTAGTCGACTGGTTTTTGAAGATCCAGGTGTTTTGGTCCTTGAGGGCCTTGGTCAGTGCCTGGAACAAACGCTAATCATTCTAAAGGCTGCCCGGCAGCTCAGATGAGCTTCTTGACTTTTATCTGGCACAAATTGCCCTCTGAATTGGTCAAGACATTCAGCCACTGGCTCTCGTCCACGTTCTCATTGAGGGCGGCGAAAATCTGAGAAGTTGCCGACTTGAACAGGATCAAATGCTTGGTCTTCAGCTCTGGATGCCAGCCGTAGTAGGGAAAGTGTTCGCTATCCCACAGCTTTTTTATGTCCCTAGAGACTGCGAAATGAGAGTGAGGAGTGGGATCTAGACTGGGTTGAAGTCAAACTACCTATTTTCAGCTTCAGGGCCATTTGGTCGAAGGAGCGGGCATCCAGAAAAGGCGACTCGAACGACTTCTCACAAAAGGCCTTGCGGCAAGGGAAAACGTCGTCATGTTCACTGCAACCTTCATAGTCTTCACCTCCTGAAATCGACCCTGAATTGCTGAGCACTTGTTGCTTCTCAAACGCTCACCCATGCTCAGAAACGCAAACAACAGATCGTCCACATCCTCCAACATCCAGGGCTCCTTGACCTCGTCTGGATCGAATGTATCACACAGCCTCTCAAAACTCATCACCATTGGGGAGTAGGACAGTTCGCGCGCCTCATTGTACTCATAGTTGGCATATTGAGCCAATTTGCTCTGGGGAATACTGTCCCTGACTGTGCGCGGACTTAATTGTGACCACTTGGAGCTGATGGCATGCACGTGGCGAGCTCTGAGATACAGACTCTGCAAAGGCAAGGGGAAGAAGAGGCTGTGAGGGATGAGGACACAATAGAAAGAAGTACCATATTGGCCTTCTGATAAGCACTCAGATCGTTGGACCATGTGGCGTCCGCTTGATAAGCCACTGCCCACAGCGCATCCGTTTGGGCCTCAGAACTGGACATGGCGGCTCTCTGACACCCGTTCAAAGCAAAGGAAATGCCATTTTCAACCTGGATTTAGGTGTGGTCGGTGTTTGTAAGGAGGCGAGTTCAGAAATTAGGTGTACAGAGATGGATGGTTTGAACTTCCATTGTGCATCGTAATTGCGTTTTTTGTTAGACTACAATACGTTGGTTGATACTGTTGGGTTTCACCAAAATTGGGACTCTAGGAGGATGTCACGGGACAGTTGGGACACAGGAGTACAGGGTCATTCAGGTTCCACCATTCGATTTCTAGGGATTCTCATTTTTGGGTAAGTAGAGGTCTATATTATTATTAATGTACAGGGTGGGCCAAATTGGGCACTTTTAAATAGAAACTCCCATGTCTAAAATATATTTTTTCAAAACCGTATGTCAATACATATGTATATCTAACAGTTTTAGAAGTACATAGTCCTTTCCCGCAATTTGCACTTTTGGAAAGGCTCCTTAACTATTTTCCTGTGATTTCCTCGGCTGTCGTCTCTCGGTCCCCAGTCTCCATGTTTTTCTTTCATTGCGCAGCTTTTCGTTCAAGTTCCTTGATATCATTGCATCATCCACGATATTCCTCCAGCTCCTTCTTGGTTCTTCTTCCTTTTTTCGGCGGCGTTCATTGTTCCATTTGTTCTGCATGTCCGAAGCGTACTAACTGTTTTTTTTCGCCTCATCCATAATGTCCTTTTCTATGCCGATAAGCTGCCTGGTAATTTAATTTCTGGTTTTGCCTGTTCTGAATTTCCCATAACTTCTTCTTAAATAATCCACTTCTGTGGCCAACACTTTAATATATTTGCCTTGCTTAGATCCCATATTTCCTCCAGGAATTGCACTCCTTTAATCACACCGTTTTGCAGTTCGAGATCCTTACCAAGGCCTGCTGCTAAGTATTCACACTTCTTCTTGCCATGCAGCTCAGATCTTGTTCGTCATCCACTACCTGGTCATTTGAAAAAAAAGGCAGTGACCTCGTGGCAGAACCGGAGTGTCTCCTCTCCCACTAGTGGTTGTGTGGCTTTGATTAGAGATTGGTTTATTTCCAGGTTTTGCATTTCCATCTATAGTCGTGATGTGGGGACACTGTCATAAGCTTTATCTGAATCTATTAGAGCGATATGTGTTTCTCGGTCACGTTGAGTACGTTTTTTAACGGTCAGTTTCAATGTGAAGAGGTTATCGATCGTCTATCTGCACGCTGCTAAGTCTCCTTTTAGGCATCTTCATACAGAGTTCTTTTGCTTTTGTGTTCGTTTAGATGGTCCGTGTCTTATAAATTCGGGATGTATTCCGTCAGGTCCTCCTTCTTGTGCCATACTCTCTCCGAGAACGGAGGCGACCCCTCACGCATACTCACATACTGGCAAGCCGATGTGTGCACCACCACACCACTGTGACCCCCGCCATGGTGCATTAATGCTATTTTGAGGTGTATGCGGTTCGCATTGAGCGCTTCTTGATCTTCTCTGATGTATTGCGGTTGCTGTTCTTCCAATAGGTGTTTAAAATGTTTTGTCCACTGTGAGTTTGTTAAGCCAAACAGACTAGTTGCCTGGTTGTTGCATGTTCTCAGTGCTTTTATGGTTTTCCAGGCCTCCGAACTTTGTGTGCCTCCTATCTGCTGGTCTATGTAGTCGCATCTTTTAATCCAAAAGTGGTTCTTCTTCTTTAATACTTCGGCTTTTACTCTTTTGTTTGCTTGCTTATTTTCTTCTATTGTTGGTGCATCCTCCGTCTGTAGGAATTTTTCGTCATACATTTGTTTTTCTCCTTAATTTGTTTCTCTATAGCCTCGTCCCACCAGTATGGTTTACTTTTCGTATTCTGCATTCCAAGAGATTCTTGGGCTTCCTTCGTTATACAGGCCTTAATGTGTTGGTATTCTTCAGTTGCTTTATTGGTTTGAGTTAATTTCTCCTCCAATCTCTTGCAGAACAGGTATTTTGTACTATCGTGTTCTGGGCTTTCGAGATTATATTTCATACTGGTTATTGATGTCCCGTTATTGTTTCTTCTACATATATTCCTACCACTTTACTATTGTGTTGCTTTCCCATTCTTCCGTTTAGGTCTCCAGCTATTATGATTTCATGATGTTTCGGTATCT